GCAGAGGGGACCTCCACGCACTCCTTAGTGTACCGCGCTACATATTGCCGCAAGGTCTTCCCTTCCTTCTGTTGCATATTAATCAACGAGAAGTATGTCTTCTCGTGCTTCCTGGCACTCGCAAACTGATTCAGAAATAGAGAGCTGAACTTCTCAAAGCAATCGATAGATCATGCTGGCAGCTGGTGGAACCAATCTTGCGCCGACCCCTTTAATGTCGTCAAGAAGGCTCGGCAACTCACAACATCACTATACCTGTGCAGCACGACTATGTTGTCAAACGAACTCAAGTGCCTGGTTGGGTCCGCCGATCCATCATAGGACAAACTCAACTCCCTGAAGTTGCTAGGCAAATTCCCTCCTAAGACATCCTCTGCAAAAGGGTGTCCTCACGAAACTACATGTCTCTTACCCTGCATTTGAGCTTGGAGTTCCCGTATTTGAGATGCCAACCTCTCCAAGGTTAACCCATCCGGTTGTGCTGTTGACACCGGCTGGGAGGTCACAGATCTAGCATCATCATCATCGACTCTCTCCGAACGCTGGTGCTGTTGTGGATGCAAGGGGACCTGTCGTTGAGGTGCAAGTGGCTGCCGTGGCGGAGGTTGTTGAAATGACTCATTAGGAGCTCTCTTATCCACCTCTTGAGTCCGGCCTATCGCCTCAGCAATGATCCTGTCCAACTCCGACCTGGTCATCTGAATAACCAAGTCCTCCCGTGGTGCCGAAGAAACATTGCCCCTCGGAGGATTTTGTGCTCCTACCTCGACCAATTGCATACTACCAAGGGCACCATTCTGATCACCAGCATCTCTGGATCCCAAAACTCCTTGATCCACCACCCATCAACCGTGGCGTCAACCTCCTTCCCTTTGTCTGTCAAACCACCCGATCCTCCCGTGTTCGCCGCGCGCCTCTGAGCTTCCGATGGTGGTATCGGGATCACGCTTGGGCCCAACAACGTCTCGTTAGGGGTGACGGGTGATGGTGACCATCCTGGCGGGGGACCTGTCTCGAAGGCCCTCCGCGCCCACTCCTCATCCATCTCCTTAGCCAAGCTCTTCTTCAAATTATCTCCCGCCATGACTTCTATCGTTCTTCTTGTTTAGTGAGAAAAAATAGCCTTTGAAACTCCGGTAGAAGACTGAGACGTCCCCACCGGCGCCAATTTGTTATACCACAAATACTTCAACCGCTGGACCGCTCCCCTCGAACTGGGTTGTGTCTCCTTGATCGCTGGTACCTGCAAAGCACGCCGGGGGTGGTCCCGGCACGAACACTCCGACGATCAAGTCAGTGATGGTCTAGAGAGAAAACACAGAGTAACGAGATAGCTCGTGTATGTGTGTTGTGTAAAAATGAATGAACCTGCTCCTTTTATAGGAGAAACTTGGAGAGTCCTGCTGAGACAAGAAGTCTTCTTGATGTTTATCTCTATTGTCTCTAGGGTCCTTATTGCTGTCAACCTCATCGTAACTTGATCTCAACGCCAATATCAAGTTCCAGCCCCTTTGACGGCGCCCTCGGGCCGGGCTGCCTAAATGCCAAATACTCTCTAACACCGAACACCCGGGGCCGCGCACTTGGGAGTGCCGCGCACCTGGAGGTGCCGGGCACTTGAGGGTGTCGCGTACTTGAGGGTGCTGCGCACTTGGGGGTGTCGCGCTCTTGAGGGTGTCGCGCACCCTTACTTGAGGGTGTCGCGCACCCTTACTTGAGGGTGCCGCGCACTTGGGGGTTGATACGGAAGCGGTCATCGGAGCCGAAGGATGTGAAGGTTGGTCGGGCATGGCTGATGAGTGAATAGAAAAGCAACGTTGGTTCAAACCGTGTGTTAGGATTCGTGAGAGTTCGATCATGCAATCGAATTAGTGAGGCTAAGACCCGAGCTAGTTCAAAATCAAGGGAGCAAGCCTAATTACCGAGTGAACTCAAGTATCGTGAGAGAGTTAGGCTAATAACCGAGTCGATCACACCTATCGTTAAGAGCAAGGCCGTGGCGACGCATTGTTCGAGGCAAGCGAGTGGAATAAAACACACGATCCTTCATCATTGGTGCTTTCATTGAGAGTGATTGATTGTGTGTTTCGTTAAACTTTGCTATCCTATTCTTTTTTCTTTTGTCCGATTTTCTTTTCCCCCTCTTGTTCGAATTTTTTCGAATTTCTTCTTCTTTTTTCGAAAAATTTTCGAGAGTATAAAAAAAAAAGAGTCATGACGAATCGTGAAAGATTCGATATGCCTGAAGAAAGCGTGAGGTCCCTTGGCAAAGGACAACACGTGGTCAATGAAAACATGGCGAAGTTGGATCTTATGATACAGGACTTGGCGAAAAAGCTCGAGAGAGTCCACCACCACACGTGGAGGAGCCGCACATCAAGATCAACCATGGCGGGAACGGACAGTTCGGCGTCTAGTCGCGATGACGACGACGACCGGTCGCGGGCGACGCGCGCGACGTGCACAACCCGGCACCATGGCGATCGAAGGACGCACTGCCATCGGCATCAACGCGAGGAGCATGCGCGTGCGAGACCGAAGATTACGATGCCGACGTTCGAAGGAACAGATCTGGATGCTTGGTTAAGTCGCGCCATGCAATTCTTCGAGATCAATGAGGTACACAAGTCTGAAAGAGTTCAAATTGCTGCCTACTACTTAGATGGTGAAGCCAACACTTGGTGGCAATGGGTGTCACATGTCTACAAGAACAAAGGCGAGCAAATCAGATGGAGAGATTTTGAGAAGGAGTTGATTGCCACGTTTGAATCTAGTGATTATTTCGATTATGATGAGGCTTTGACAAGGATTCGCCAAACTGGTAGTCTACGCGACTATCAAAAGTAGTTTGAAAGGATTGCAAGCCGGGTACGTGATTGGCCCGAGAGTGCACTTGTTGGTGCGTTTGTTGGAGGCTTAAAAGCTGAGTTGGCTGCGGAAGTACGTCTGGATAGGCCAAGGTCAACAAGGGTTGCGATGGAGGCCGCACGATTGCATGAAGACCACTTAGCGGCCGTGCGCAAGGCAACACGGGGCGACGTCCGCACAGAACCGAGACGCGCGAGCGCGGTAATCGACGAGGTGCCCCCACGGGCCGAGACCAAATTGGCGGTCAACGAAGGTACACGCACCACGAGCAGCATACGACGACTCACGGACGAGGAGATGCCGCGGCGAAGAGAAAAGGGTCTATGCTATACATGCAACGAGAAATTTACGCCAGGCCACAAGTGCAAAGGTAAGGAAGTCTTTCTGTTGGAAATTGAAGAGGAATGTGAGGAAGAAAAGCCACAGGAGGAGTCTTTGTTACATGTGGTTAAGTGCAAGAAGCGTGGTCCTAAGATGATCAGGTTCACGACTGAAATAAAAGATATGTTGCTAGAGGTACTGGTGGATAGTGGGTCGAGTTTGAATTTTATCGACGAAGGAATAGCCAGGAGACTGAAGTTGGAAACCACCAAGGTCAAGAGGTTTGGAGTCAAGGTGGCCAATGAACATGAATTACAAGGTAATCAATTGTTCAAAAAGGTTCCAATTATGGCACAGGATCAAGAGCTAGAGATTGCCTCTACGCCTTACCGCTTAAGGCAACTGATATCGTGTTGGGAGTACAGTGGCTCGAAACACTTGGGCCCATTACGACCGACTATAATCGAGGAAAGATGGAGTTTGGAAGGCCAGAGAAACGCATTAAGTTGAGAACTGAAGATCGAGGTGATTCCCCCATGAAGAAGATGATAGTGATGTGGATGTGCTGAACTATCTTATCCTTGAGGACAAGGAAAGTCTTGAAGAGGAGGGGAATGATACGGAAGCGGTCATCGGAGCCGAAGGATGTGAAGGTTGGTCGGGCATGGCTGATGAGTGAATAGAAAAGGAACGTTGGTTCAAACAGTGTGTTAGGATTCGTGAGAGCTCGATCATGCAATCGAATTAGTGATGCTAAGACCCGAGCTAGTTCAAAATCGAGGGAGCAAGGCTAATTATCGAGTGAACTCAAGTATCGTGAGAGAGTTAGGCTAATAACCGATTCGATCACACCTATCGTTGAGAGCAAGGCCGTGGCGACGCATTGTTCGAGGCAAGCGAGTGGAACAAAACACACGATCCTTCATCATGGGTGTCGCGCACTTGAGTGTGAAGTGCTCTCCATACAAATGCGACGGTCGAACCGCGATCGGTCCTTCATGAACCACTACTAACGACCACATCACTATTTATAATGAAATTTTTAACAATATGGAGATAAATTTCATTTTTTTTAATTGATTCGCAAAAACTTAATTTTTTCAATTAATAAGTCCGTTATCTTATTTGCAAATAGCAATAGATGCTAGATCGAAAGTGATGGAAAATTACGCAAGATTAACAAAAGTGGGGCCATCTCCATGCCGGTTAGCCTATAGATACACTGTACGTGTCAACAGATTACATCGACACGTGGAATCTTCTGTTTTCGGTCGCCGGTCGTCTCTCTTCCACAGCGTGAACGAACACCCCCTGAATTTCCGTTCTTCTTTTCCACGCCCCCAACAAATTAACGTGTTCTTTTCTTTTGTCACACTCTTGAATCTCATAGATCCATTTTCGCCTCGTTTTCTCCATTAAGTCGATGCACTTCTTCCGCTTCGACCCCGCATTGTTAGCGTGAACTTTTTTTTTTTTTTTTTCCTTCACGGGCTTTCCCCGGGTAAGCGTTCGTTTGTCGTGAACATTTCCTGCTTGATGGTGCCGATTTATTTCTGTGTGAGCTTGAATTTGGCGTCGGCCCACGTTGAAGATGCTTCGAGAATCGGGGATCTTGTAATTTTCTGAGGAAGGTATGGCCTGAGTGTGTTCGTTCTCTGTAATTTATTTAGATCTGTGTGGCATTTTCTCGATTAGCTCGTGAATAGGTTTGAGTCTTGGGGTTCTAGAGTTTGCATTGTGTTTCGTTTCTTGTTGATTGATTTTTGCTGGTGAGAACGAAAAGGGTATTTTTTTTTTTTTTTTTTGTGAAAATGGAAATATCAGGTGGGCTGAGTCCAAGATTCAGTTCCAGTGCATTGAACACAGAGAAAGATGGCGGAAATTTGATGCCGGGTCTCGAGATGGAGGCCGGGGTGCCCGATTTCGGGCCCGACCACCATTTCCACCCAATGAGTGCCCTCGAGATCCTGAGAGAGACTGTTAGGATCCTCAGGTACAACTCAGCTGGGTTCATGGCGATTGTTGCCCTTCTAATCTGCCCCGTCTCGGCCGTGGTCTTGTCCAATGTTTTAGTCGACCAATCCCTCGTAAAACGGCTTACCTTCAGGCTAATGCTGGTTGCGAAATCCAGCGGGCTCCCTCTTAAGCCCTTTGTGAAGCATTCTTGTTACAAGCTGTCGGAGGTCGTTGTCTCGGTCATAATGTGCTTCCCCTTGTTCATCACGCTATCTCTTTCGTCGAAGGCTGCCGTGGTTTACTCTGTCGACTGCACTTACTCGAGGAAAAAGTTCGACTACTCCAAATTTTACGTGATCATCTCCAAGATATGGAGACGCATAGTCTTCACCTACATGTGGGTATGCGTCGTGATCTCAGGCTGTCTCACGTTGTTCCTTGTCTTTCTTGTCGTGGTAAGCAGCGTGTTCTTGACCATGGGTTTCCCACCCGATTTGATTCTTTACCCAGCCATGGTGGTCGGGTTCATATTCTCGATCGTGATTGCAAATGCCATTATAATTTGCAATATTGGTGTTGTGATCTCGGTTCTGGAGGACGTGTCGGGCCCGCAGGCCTTGCTGAGGTCTAGCTCGTTGATTAGGGGCCAGACTCAGGTGGGGCTGTTGATATTTCTCGGGTCGACTATGGGGTTGGCATTTGTGGAGGGACTTTTTGAGCACAGGGTGAAGACGTTGAGTTATGGAGATGGGTCGTCGAGGATTTGGGAAGGGCCTTTGCTGGTCGTGATGTACTCGTTTGTTGTGCTGGTGGACTCGATGATGAGCACGGTTTTTTACTTCAGCTGCAAGTCTTACCGCATGGAGAATGAAAATGCGGAGAGCGAGCCGGTTCTGGAAGCCCTTAATATTGCACCTTGACAATGGGAGGATATGAATGAGAAAGATTTGAGTTTTGGCTTTGGATTTAATGAAGTCTGTGCCGCTGAAGGGTTCTCGAAAGTGGGTTTTCCGAAGATTGTTATGGTGATATCGGTAATATGCGTGTAGCTGAAGAAGGATGACGTTTCAACGTCCGGGGAGATTGGATTAGTCACTGTTGTACTATCTTGCAAAAAAAGTTTTATAAAGTTGCATAGTCACATATAGTTGTTCCTTTCCTTTTTTGTTTTCAGTTAATATGGTTGTACTTCAATTCTTTGTTGAGATAGTTACTCTGTTACTACATTTGACCCAGTGGGTTGTAAAATGTTGTTGGTTTTATCTGGCATTTTGAAGAAATTCACATCAAGAGTTGGTTGAGTTTCTTGAATTTTCCATTCTTATTTAATGTTTTATTTTTTATTTTTTTATTATTTTATTTTATTATTATTATTATTTTTCTTTTTTTGTGACAACTTAGTTCCAAGCTAGTCTTTGATTTTTCCAAGTTCATTATTGTAATGGCATTGAAGTGTTCATTTCAAATGAGTGCAGAGTTTGTGCTTATGGGCAAAATGATTGTAAAAATTATAGGAATAAGTTATTATATCTTGATTGTTCTAAGTTCATTATGGTAATGGCATTGAAGTGTTCCTGAATCTTGTTACATGGGTACAGAGATCGTGCTTGTGGGCATGATGATTGTGCAAATTGTAGGAAGAAGCTATTATCTTATGGGGAGATGTTACAGTCTCGTTACGCAATCATTTCGTCTAAGTTTGTAACTTATCATGTAATCGTCGGGATTGTTAATCCAATGGTTAGAAACCCTAACGGATTGGTTCCGTAACGGGGACGTAGAATTTCGCAATCTTACAACCATCAAATCTATATATATATAATTACTAGCTCTTCTACATTTAAGAAAACCTCATAAATTATACCTAGATGGCACTTTCACATTTTCCCCCCAAAAATCATTACTTTTCATTCATTTAACCTAATTAATAGATAATCAATACACTAATCAATTTAAAATACAAAAATCATTTTGAACTTTTGATTAATGTGTTACCATATAATGTGATTAGATATTATTATTGTGGTAACATGTAAATTATTTGTTTTGGAAAATAAAAAAAGTATATGAAACTCCTAAATAAATTATAAATAATTTTATAAAAAAATACATACCAAAATATACGTTACATCCAATCTAATAAACGCAATTTAGAAAAAAAATCAACTCCTTCAATTGTAAATTTGGCTGCAAAAACGTGAAAGAAAAATAATTAATCATTATATGCATACAAATAACTCACAATATTTTATTTACATTTGTGCAAATGCACAGGTAGAATACTAGTATGTTTAAATCTCCACTAAATACACCAACAGTTTGTTGAGTACAATGAATTGTTATTGTGGCAAGTACTAATTATTGTTGCCCAAAATCAAAACTCTTTAGTCAAAGGTTTCCATATCAACTGCCTAGTTGCTAATAGGCATCATTTCTGTAATTAACATTATCTTTTTTAGCTCATCATAATCAACTAGTACGTACCTCATGCAATGCACATGACAAAAATATTAAATGAGTTATTTTCACATGCTTAGGCTTTTAAATGAGTTAATAAACAATAGAGTTATCATCTATTTTTCACCTCTTTTAATTAGCGTTAAGTGTATTAAAAATAAGGTTATAATCTATTTTGCACCCTTTTTAATCAGTTGTTTTTTTAGTCAAAACATTAAATATGGGCATGTTATAGCTAGTTTGTAATTAATATATTATCTCACTAACACATTTATACTAATTTAAATTTGATTTTAGTATATATATATTTATTCTTTGATATAAGAGAGAATAACAATTTTACTTATTTTTGTTCACCATATAAACTTAATTATTATTTTACTATAAACTTTGTTGCAATATAATGTCATTATTATTATAAATTTATAGAAGTTGTACGTATTCTTTTATTTTTATTTTCTGTAATGAAAAATATTTACTGCACGTTAGTATTATTTATTTATGATGAATTTAATATGTAAATAAAATTTAAAATTAAATAGTGTATAAATTTTTTACTATATATACACATGTTTTTGGAATTTAATTTTATATACTAATTAAACAAATTTAATTTAAAAATTGCCAAAAACTCAATACCTTCATCAAAATAAAAAAATGAAAAAATAATCATGGGTGCCAATAATATACAAATAAATTCCAAAAAATAGTTAATACATTTCAATTTTAATTATTTATCATTGGTAAAATTATTTATTTGAAGAACAAATTATATTAATTTGAAGAACAATTTATTTTTCATATTTATCAAAAGAAAGCTTAAGAAAAAAATATATTGGCAAAAACTAATTCACCAACTTTATTTTGCCTGCGTAGTTGGAAAAAAGATTCTATCTAACCTGTTACGATTGTCCATAAAAATTTTTAGATAAAAAATGAATATCTGTGAAAAAAAATTAATATTATGGTTTAAACTTAAAATATGGTGTAATATTTATTTGACCAAAATATTATCAACATGGATCATCAAATCAATCTTGCAATTTATTATAATGAATATTAATGAAAGTATTACAAATACTAATAAAATAGTATTTATCTTGACCAAAATATTATCAACATGGAATCACAAAATCAATCTTGTAATTATAATAAATATAATGAAAATATTGCAGATATTAATAAATTTATTGAAATAATGTTTTGAACATATCTTATTTGATCTTATTTGAAGATGTGTATATGGAAGCAATTAATGCATATATTTAAAAAGCTTTCAAAAATAGTATTCATTAATTGTTTCCTAAATTTTTTTGCTACTATTTTTAGTAAATGGTAATTCTTATTATCATATATATATACATATATATATATATATTATTTTCGATTTGCATACTTTTTGTATACCAAATAATGCATGGTAAGCAATATTAAATGATATTACTTATATATGTATAAACTAGTGATTAAATTTAAAGGGTAAATAATTTTTTGCAACATTTACTATATGCATTTTTGGTGATTGTAACCTAAAGTTTTTTTTTTTTTTTTTTCCTGATTTTGCAACCTATAATACACGGTGAAAGAAACTGGAAGAAAACGGGTGCGGCCCCACTAACATGAGCCACACCATAAGCGCGGGTAAGCCCATATGAAGCCTAAGTGAGGTTCCATCCCAAAACTAATTGGTGGAAGGAGGAGAGTCCCACTAGACTTATAAGGTGAGTCTATTTTCCATGTATAAACGATGTGGAACAACTCATAATTGATATTCTAACACGCCCCTCACTTTGTGAGTCCTTCAGAAGCCGAAACCCAACTGGGTTGGGTGACGGGTACGTCATCGCACGGTCACCAATAGAACCGGCTCTGATATCATGAAAGAAACTGGGAGAAAACAGGTGTGGTCCTACGCAGATGAAGCTCACCAAGACAGGGAAAACCCAGATGAAGCCCAAGTGGGGTTCCATCCCAAAACCAATTGGTGGAAGGAGGAGAGGCCCACTAGACTTATAAGTTGAGCCTATTTTCCATGTATGAATGGTGTGGGACAACTCACAAGTGATATTCTAACACACGGTTTGTGTATATCACAACCTAACGCCCATCGGAGTCCCATATTCCACCGAAAAAGCGACCGTGTGACTCGCATGCTTGAAACTTGATGGTAAAATCGCCAATGAAGTGTATGACTGTCGGTCTCTCAACAGATTGAATTTATGCAAAATAGTTTTCAAATTCAACACAAATCCCAAATCTAAAACTAGGGTTCTTAGCCTCTGCGACTTTCAATCTCGACATCCAATCTCAAACTTTCTTTCGATTTAAACATAAAAATTATGAATCAAACTTGATTGCGGTCTTGATGGGATGGAAGGTACGCGACAATGATGAGAATCTTCCACCCGAAAGACTGTGCCCCGATTACGTTTGTTGTTCAAACCCTAACTTTTAATTTTGTTTTTTCTTGTCGAATTTGACGCAATCTTTTATATTGGTAGTATGTTTTTGTGATTATGCCTTCTCTTTTCTCATGTGGAGACAAAATTCTTGAATTTGCCGACAGTCAATGGGTCCAAATATGAAAATGTGGATTTTGTTGGAAATGTGGTCCCTTTTTGAAAAGGATATATTAGTTTAGTATTTTATTCAGTTTTTTTTTTTTTTTTAATTTGATAACTGGGACCAAGATATTGATTTGTGTAATATTCTTGTCCCCTTCAGGTCCTAGTTCACAATTGTTTACCATTTTATTTCATTATGGTAGGTAATTTCTAGAACTCGGTAACACTTGTTACACTGGTGAGCATATGAGGGTAAGGCACATTGACTACCTGATGAACTCTCATTAATTGAAATATTCTGTATGTCTTCTGAAATTGGGATAAAAGATGTTAAGTGTGTGCATTGTAGTAGAAATAGTATAAACGATTGTCGGTCTGTGTTTGTCTTTCAAAATGACATGGATGCTATAAATCCTGTTAATTGGGTTGATAGTAAAAGAATGGTTGGTTTATATGTTAAACATACAGAAAACATAGGCACAGGGATGATTACTGAACCTTCTGATGGTTTGCCTTCTGTTGATGAACCCTTACCTTTTGTGGGGATGGTGGGGAGGATATAGATGATAAAATTGACAATTGGGGGAAAAAGAATGTTTATGAATTGGGTGATGATTTGGAAGTCCAATCTGATAGTGACTCTAATAGTAATTTTGAACTTTTCCTCTTCAAGCAGAATTCCATTTTAGCCATTTCTTCTTTAATAGCTTCAATACAAGCTTCGGCCTCTTTCAAATCTGATTGAAGCTTCTTCATATCATCTTCCAATCTCATCACGTCTGCTTCAAGAATTTGAGTTTCGCTTTCAAACTTGTTGGCACGTTTCAAAAGCCCTGGAATGATTTCACGAGCTCTAGGGTACAATGGTAGTTCAATCCACGAAAAAAAATGAACAACCA